AATCAGGAAGTGTGATGACTCCATCTTTGTTCTTTTTCAAGATCACTTTGGCTGGTCAGGGTCTTTTGTGATTCCATATGAATTTTAGGATTTTTTTTTCTCTTTTTGTACAAAATGCCACTGGAGTCTTGATAAGGATTACATTGAATCTATAGATGGCTTGGGGCAGTATGGACATTTCAACAATATGTATTCTTCCAATTCATGAACACAAGATATCTTTCCATTCATCTGTGTCTTCTGTCTTCAATTTCTTTCATCAATGTCTTAGAGTTTACAGTGTAGAGATCTTTCATCTCCATGGTGAAATTTATTTCTAATTATTTTATTGTTTTTGCTTTTACTATAAATGAAATTATTTTCTTCTTTCTCTTTCAAATAGTTCGTTATTAGTGTATATAAATACAACAATTTTGTATGTTGATTTTGTACCCTGCCAATTTACTGAATTCCTTTATCAGTTAGAACAGTTATTTGGTGGAGTCTTTAGGGTTTTCTATATATAAAGTCATATCATCTGGAAATGCAGATATTTTTACTTCTTCCTTTCTGATTTGGAAGCTTTTTTTTTTCCTTTTTCTTTCCTGATTGCTCTGGCCAGGACTTCCAGTACTGTGTTGAAAAAGAGTGCTGAAAGTAGGCATCCTTCAAGCTTTCACCATTCAGTGTGATGTTAGACTGAGAAGGACTGCATTAGAAGAATGGGTTGCATTGCAAAGTGCTGGACAAATGCCATTTTATGGCAGAAATCTCTTGAAAGATGATCAGATAGAAACTTAGAGGTAAGAGGAAAAGGAAGACACTAGAGACTTGTGTGCTGCTTCTGCATCTCCTGTGAAATCCTTCTTGAATAATACATATCTTAAAATATGATTTCCATGTTTTTGGAATTTCACAGTTAATTCAATTAAATATATTAAATCCAAGACAATGCTCATATGTTTGACTCTGTATCCATCACAGAGTTTTCTTTTTTAAGGACCCCATAATCCTACTTAAGATTCTCTGAATCGCTGTTCTCTATTTTACAATACATTCCACATTTTCCCTCTCAACATTTTTATTAGCATTTTCATTGTCTTCATTAGTTCCCCTTTATTTGTCTTCATTCTTTTTTAAAGACATTTTTAAAATGGGCTCAATATATCAGCCTTCTTAGTGTAATAATTCTTTGCTTCCTCTCATTTATTAGTTGTCTTATTTTCTCATCTGTTTCTGTCTTTCCCCGATATATCTGTTACACACTTTTTCATTTTTTCTTCTCATAATGTATCATCAGTCTTTTTTATTTGCTTATTTCTGTTTGATTTGTTTTGCTCTTCTATTTATATATACCCATCCTTTTGTTGGAAGAGGGCAAATGAAAATGTATGGTAAAACTTACTATGATACTCTAACTTGGCTTTTTTTTTTCTTTTTTCTATTTTTTCACAATGTTTAATTCCTCCTACTATAAAAGTGGTTCTTTGATTCCTTTTACTTTGTGACTTTTTCATAGACCCCAAGTTGCCTCAGGATGCCGATTAACCCTATCTATAACAACAGAAAATGGACTCATTGGTATATTGAGAAAGATTGAGTTTTAATTAAAGATAGTGTTGTTGGGGTTTTTTTTTTTGTTTGTTTTTAAGTGAGTCTCTTCCCTTGCCCCAACCCCATACACTTTGTTCTTGTTAGGGCCTTAATTTAATCTTAGAAGACTTATTTTAGAAGATAAGACAAACATATTTTCTAGTAAGGACAGTAATCCTAATAAATGACAAAATACTGTGAAAAGGAGTTTTATATTAGATCTTCTTTGGATCATTTTAATTTAGCTCATGTATTCTAGGTTTGCAAATCTTTACATTAATGGAAATTTGTTCTTGTGAATGAAATCACGAGTTCTTAGGAAAATCTAGATAACACTAGGGGGCAGCATGATATCTAGAAAGAGAACAGAGTTTAGCTTCAAGGAGCCTGAGTTCTAATCTCAAATTATCAACAAAGAGAATAACTCTCTGAGTTATTTTTGGGTTTTTTTTCTACATCTATAAAATTAGAAGTATTGACCATGTAATCCAAAGGGGACCTTCAAACTCCCAGCATCTATGTTAAATTTGCCATTTTTATACTTTATGCCAGGATAAAAATTAAAGCCAAGTCCAAATTCACATAAATTGGGTTTACATTAAACCAATATGTTCCTTCCATCATCGCAGTTTTCATCCTTTATAATTCGTGTGTTGGGGGGAGCTCCATACAGCAAAACCCTTCCCTTAAAAAGTCATATTTTACTTTATGGACAGTGAGCTGACTGTGAACCAGGGAAGATTCAGAGAAATGGCCCAATTCCAACTGCAATACTAGGTAGCTGTACAAAATAACCTAGAAAAAGCTGTGCCTCAGCAATGCCTCAGTTGTGAACTGTGCTGAGAGAGCAATTATGCACTCTTCATTCTCCAAGGGGCTTGCAAGCTGTTGGCAAGGCACACAGGGCACTGTCAAAAAGAGAAACCCATGGGACACCCTATCACTGTTAGCACAGTCAACAGAAGCATCTGATGGTGTTGACAGAAAGCGATAAAAGCCACTGTTGGGAACCATTGACTGGAACTTCTTTGGGGAACTCCCTTTAATCGGGATTTTTAGATTGAGTGTTGTACCAGAGAGGACCTTTCAAAGCCTCTGGTCTGCTCCACCATTCAAATATCTCCCTTTCATGTGGACAGTGCTTTGCTGAGAACAATAACTCTATTTGATTTCTAACACAGAGGTGGTGACTATATTCTCTACCATATGAACTCATGCCACTGATTATAGGTGACTGAATTAGGGATTGACTGTTAATGAGAGCCAATCTATAAGGATGTCCAGGGTCTTATGAGGAGGCTTGAGGTTTAGTCACTTTCAAGAAGAGATATTATTAATTGGCCAAACCAATCAAAGTCAAACCAATCAAAGGGAGAAGAAGCTAAAGTTAAGGATAAATTCTAAATTAGAATATTCTGTTAAGTCAAAACAAATCATGACAGAGTAAAAACGTGAAGTATTTGGTTGGTAGGTGCAGAAGAAAAGATAGAGATTACCTGAGAAACTACATTGTGAAAGAATCATTCCCACCATTGAGGAGACAATGAGGTAATACTGTTACTAGTTCAACATTGGATTGCTCTGCTACCTGAAGTGTGTTCTGATTTCAGAGACAACTAACTACATGATTTTTCCTACAATACGTTCTTATGAAGACTGATCACATGGATAAGATTCCTATTTCTGTACTGCTTATTCTCATGTACTTCCTTGAAATAGATTTCCTATTAATTGAGGTAACAGCATTGTAATATGCATCATGACTATAAGCTGATCTCTTCAGGTGAAAAAGCCGGTTATAAAAAGCCATGTGAGGTAGCCAGAATTCAATCAGATAGCATTTTAAATGTAGATGGAATTATATGATGCTGAGAATTTGAAATTGTGCAGAATTCTGTCAAGTTCAAAAGTCTTTAAGCTTTTAGACAGGTATAAGGAGCAAATTAAATGCAGAATCCAATCAAGTATTTAACCTGGTGTTCCAGTAATCAATTATTTTCTTTCAGCTCCAAATCCATCTCTTTCCCATGCTATGTGATAATGAAACTGGGCCCTGTTAATATATTTACTTTGCGGCCTGGCAAAATGTTAGGCATCATCAGTAGAGGGCACTGGAGAGATGCTACAAGCATGTAACAGCGGAAGATACCTTCCTTTGGGGCTCTGGTCTTGCATTATTATTATTCAGTGAGAGAGCACAGGAGCCTCCTACAGAAGCAATCCAGCTGTGCGCTCTGATTATGATCTCCTATCAGTGGTCGCTTATGAGCAGCTCTGTCCTGACCACATCCTACAGCAACTGCTGGGTACTTCTACAGACTAGCCCCCATTCCCATCCTCAGGAAGTTTCTTTTCCACCGGTAGTCTTCATGTTCACTGTATTGAAAAAGTTATGAATCTCAACCTTGAGGTCAGGGCTCTCCCACTCTTTCATGTGTCTGTTTGGTTTTGGTTTGTTTTTGTTTCAGTTTTATTGTCCACACACCCTCAGATGAGAGGTAGTAGTTAGCTTTCTTGTATCTGTTGCTTCTGAGTCTTCTTTTACCCCTTTTATCTGCCTTCTACTAGTTAACAATTCTTTTTATTAAATTCAAATAACCACTATGGTTACTGTCTCCTGGTTGGACCCTGAATGATGTATTTGCATAAGTTTTACAGATTTCTATTAGTACTGATTCAAAGGTTTGGACTACCTGATCATTTCCTTTGAGTAATGAAATTATTGACACAACAAATATAAATAGGGTTCAGAGGATGGCCAGCAAGAATCTAGTCAGCCTCCCATTTAAAAGCTTAGATAGTTGTCTTCACTAGTGAGAGTGCATCTTTTAACTCTGGGAAAAATTTAAATTAAATATAGAAAAGCATCTTAGGTTGGATTCCAGGAAAACAGAGTCTGAGATGGAGATTTGTGTATAGGAACACTTTTAGGGAATGCTTTCAGGATCAAAGCCTGTGGGGGAGTAAAGAAAGTAGCATTAGGAAAAAAGAGGAGTTGATGTGCGATATACCCCAAAGAAGGTCTCTTAGGATCTCACAGAGCTCAGGCAGTTCAAACTCTTCCACCTTCATGGTGTTTAGGACAAGAGGATGTTAGCACCCCTACGCCAACCAGTCATGTGGTGTGAGCTGACTCCAAGAGGGCAAGTTACTTAGGGTGTTGTGTGGCAAATCTCTTTAGCTAAGGGCTATTTCCAGAGAGTGACTCCGCTGAAAACCTTCCCATCAGCTGCCCATACTCTCACCAGCTGGGGAAATGGGTGCCACAGTCCCAAAGGGGGTTTCTGAGCAGCTGTATTAGCTGTCTACTGCTGCTTAACCAACCTCCCTGTTTTAGTGGCTTGAAACAATGACAACATGTATTATGCTTGCAAATTTGCAATTTGGGCAAAGCTCAGTGAAGATAACTTTTCTGTTCCACTCAACAGCAACTGCAAAAGCTTGGAGGCTAGGAGCTGAGATTATCTGAAGACTTGCTCATTCACATGTATGGTGGTTGATGCTGGCTGTCAGGTAAGACCTGAACTTGGGCTGTCAGCCTCTCTGTGTGGCCTGGGCTTCCTCACAACATGGTGGCAGTATCACTTTTTCTGCATTCTGTTTTTTGCAATAGACAAAAACTTGTCCAGGTTTAGGAGGTAGAGAAATAGACTCTGACACTTGATGGGGAGTGAGGTGTGACCATCTTTCTGTGACCATTCTGGGAAAATATAATCTGCCACAGCAGCACATCCCAGAATCTACTATAAAAAGAAATGAAAACCATAGTATAAATATTTTGTTAGAAAAGAATGTATGCATGATTGACATTTTATTTACTCTGACATTTAAGAGAATCTTGGCATTTAAAGTAAAGCCTTATAACTCCAATTTAAAATGTATAATTGAGCAATATATTTAGAAATGATTTCAAGTTGAAATCATAGTGTTTCTTTACAGAGCAAGAACTTTCAAGAAAATGTAAAGCATGCCACCTTTTTATGTTTAATTCTTAAATTGATAAAATCATATCTAGTATTTGGCAAGATCTGATTTATTAATTGGGTTAAAATATGTAAAAGTAAAAAAGAATGTATAAGTTTATAAATGCCATTTGAAATATGTCAAAATATGTATATGTGTGTGTGTAGATATACATACATGTAAATAAGACCAAACATTATTCAAAGTTATCTTCAAAAAGTTTATTAAAATCTGCACTATCACAAATACAATATTAAAATTCGCAACTTGAACTTAACTATTAGGGGAAAACAGGAGATTGAATGTGCAACTTTATTAAGTTGAATAACAGCCCTTGTTCCCAAAATGAAATTCTGATTAGTCTTTTGGGCATACAAAACCCACCTCTGGATGCCATTTTTTTTCCTCCACTAAAAATTCTCATTGGGGCTTCCCTGGTGGCGCAGTGGTTGAGAGTCCGCCTGCCGATGTAGGGGACACGGGTTCGTGTCCTGGTCCGGGAGGATCCCACATGCCATGGAGCGGCTGGGCCCGTGAGCCATGGCTGATGGGCCTGCGCGTCCGGAGCCTGTGCTCCGCAGCGGGAGAGGCCACAACAGTGAGAGGCCCGCGTACTGCAAAAAAAAAAAAAAAATCTCATCAATGTAATCAAGAGGGTCAACTAACATAGAGACATTAATTATAAATCTCAAATCTTTAATATAAGTTTTTGAGCTTGGAGAATAGGTTTGTAGAAATTTACAATATCAGCACAGGTCAACTCAGCTATATGTATAATGCAGCAGACTTAAGATGATGGTACACAAGCTACTCCTTTGCTCCCCGAGATCGTCTTCCAAAGGTACTCATTTTCAGGAGCCTACAATGTGAAGTAGGCAAAAGCAGACGTGCTTTGTTTATAGAGACTAAGATAGAGCTGGGGTTGAATTTGGCTCTGACCAATGTACTTTCACCTTCTCTTTACAGCATGTTTTGCAAACCATTGGTTGGTCTAACAGATAAAGAAATCCAATTTTAGGGCTCAAGGTATCCTTAGCAATTTTATTGTCAGTAATCTACTGATTAACTGGAAGTGAAATATTTTTTTTCCTGAACTTAAAGAGTCACAGTGTCAGCTCTATAGATGAGAACTCATGCAAAATTCTTTCTTTTGGAAACTTTTGATTTTAAATGGTGTCTTTCAGTTATATTTTCTAGGTATACTATAATTAAATTTTCAATGACTGTCTTTTATTCTGTAAATATTTCTTTTGTGTCACATGAATTTTACAGCAAAATAGTATTATGTTAAATAAATTGACTTGTGATGTAATTAAAGATTGTAGTTTTCCCTCCAGAAGAGATATGAAACATGTCAAGGTTGTGGGTCCAGCTTCTAGAACTCTCTTTTTACATTGCCCAGATGACAGATTCTAGATTTGAGATTATGTGATTTAAAAATGGAAAGGTTGATTCAATCCCAGATCTGCATGCTGGCATATTTGAGGTGTTTCTCAGCAAGCAGTGCAATAAAATATCTGGAAACTGACTGTTGTAGTCCTAAACTGATTATACCCTAACTGTTTATTACTGTTCACCATTGTCATTTATCAGAATAACCTGTTTGCTCATACCCCTAAAATACTATATGTTGATGAAGTCTCAGTGGTAATATTTCTGATAAAGAATAGCAAGTTAATGCTATCATAGTTAGGCTGCATTGTATTAAGTTTATATTTGATTTAGCAAGTTCTTTCAACTTCTTGTCTAGTTTCTATTATGTAAAGAAAATAATGGTTTTGTTGTAGCATAGCTGTTATTTTAAAACTTGCTTAAAAGTCGAAAGACGTTAGATACCTGTTACAGTTGGGCTCTTCAGGAAGCAGCCTCTGAGACAAGGATCACAGACTTTGGTTTTAGATATATCTGTGGTTGAAAATGAAGCCGTGTAGAGTTTATAGCAAGCCCCAGGAGAATAATCATAATTTAGACCCCTTGACTTCTAGACCAAAATATTCAGCAGAAAATTTTACACCACTCAAAAAATAGCAGCTGGGAGTTCCCTGGTTGCCTAGTGGTTAGGATTCCGGGCTTTCGCTGCTGGGGCCTGGGTTCAATCCCTGGTCGGGGAACTGAGATCCCACAAGCTGTGAGGCGTGGCCAAAAAAAAAAGAAAAAAAAAGCAGCTGGATGCTCCTGGGCTCTAATAGTAAATGAGCAGCTGATCATGGGACATGAATTGACCATGTAGCCAGAGCTGATCATCATGAGCTGGGCTCTGTTAGGCTTTCCAAAACATAAGATTCAGGGGGCCCAGCAATTTATTGTAAGACAGAAGTGGTACAAGTGGCAGCAGGCAAGAGCAGGGCCCAAGGGTAGACTATCATGTCATCCACCACTGTTGTACTTGGGCCTCTTGTTCATACGTGTTGCTCACAGCTATGGCTGCAAGGGTACCATAGAACCAGCTGATGGAGAGAATAAATTTCATGCTTAATTTGTGTTTGGACTGTTGCTTCATTCAAGGCTAACCTTGAAATATAGAGGTGAGGGGAACTTCTCCCAATGCACAGAACTTTGGGGATGATGTGCCTGATCATCTACCTTGTGTGGGAAATGATGTAACGTAGATGAGGATATATATAGACTCATAGGCTATGGTGACCTGTATTGGCTGGTTGGTTAGGGACCCAGAAAGAGAAAGAGTAGAAGATTAAGAACAAGGGAATCTGGGAAAAAAGCATATAGATAAACCTGTGAGACAGAAATTGAGAGAATGTAAATTAGGTGTGAAGATCTTTCCAGTAAAGCTCATAAGAGTTATGTATACTTTGTGTCTCCATTTCCTCATCTCACATGTTCTAAACGTACTTCACTCAACCTTTCAACCTCACCACTTTACTGTCAAGGTCACTAATGGTCTCTGTCTTGCCAAATCCAGGGTCTATTCTTCACCCTTATTTACCTTATTTCAACAGCATTTGACATTAACCGTCACCTTCTTTGTTCTTGAATTAAGGTTTTTCACGTCTTCTAGGATATCTAACTCCCTTAGTTTTCCTTTTATTACACTGAATACTAGTTTTCAGTCACTTTTTCAGGCTTCTCATCTTCTTTATGTCCTTTAAATGTTTAAGTGCTCCAACGCTAAGACCTTCGCCCTCTTCTCTTATCTATGTTTGTTTTTTCATTAGCTGATATTACATAGTCCTATGGCTTTAGATGCCATTTATAGCCGTCACTCCTCCCTGAGCTCCAAATTCGTATTATCTGCCTGCGTGACATCTGCGCTTGAATGAATAATGGCTAAATTAAAATGTCTAAACTGGAACTGTGGATTTCCCTCTGGAAACCTGCTTCTCCATGGGGTCATCCTTGGATCCTCTATCACACATCACATCTGGCCCATCAACATCAGATCTCACATTTGCACTCAAGATACAGCATAAACTCAACCCCTTCCCACAATCTTAGGCAACCTCCCCAGGCTAAGCCTATTAAACTACACTGAAAGCTAATGTATTGACACCCCACAGTTGTACTCTTGCTGTGCTATAATCAGTTCTCAACAGAGCCATCCCGGTGACCTTTTTTAAAAGCAGAAATGAAGTCATGTCACAGCTCAAAGCCCACCACTGGTTGCCATTCTGTTCTGAATAAAATCCAAACTACTTGCCATAGACAAACATGGTCTACCTGATTTAACCCCCGCCTATATCTCTGACCCTTTCTCCTAGTCCAGTCTTCTCTTCATTGATTCATTCCATTCCCTCTTGCAGAAATTCTTCTTCCTCCTATCTTTTTGTGGCCCTTTCCCTTATTTGATTCAAGACTCTGGTCAAATGCCACCTTCTTGAAGAGTTTTTGCCTGAGTTGCTTATTCAAACTGCGCATCTATCCTCCCCTTAGCTCTCACTATTTTTCTTCAAAGCACGTACCATTATCTGACATGCTATAATCTTTTCGTTTGTTTATTTTCTCCCTTTTCCTATAGAACATAAACTCATGAGGGCAGACATTAAATGTTTGGTTCACTGCTTATATTCATACCTAGAACTGTGCCTGAAATACTAAGCAGCATAGTAAACATTTGTTGAATTAAAAATCAGTTTTGTAAGTCATTGTCTCACCAACCTTGGAAGGTATACAAGATATACAATATTTAAGCCATCTTGCAGATGAGGGAGATAAGGCAGGAAGGTTAAGTAACTTGGTGAAAATCACATACTTATATTATTCACTGTTTGTATATGGTGGCTTAAATTTCTTTTAGACTTTAGCACCAGGAGAAAAATGTCTGCTTGGGAAATATAATGAATGTGATTTTTTTTTCAAGTTTATGTTTCCTTCTTGAGCTTTGCTTTAGAAACTTATAGCCAGGTTTCCACTTAAATCACTGCATTTTTTTGGTTGTTGTTGATCCTTATGCTTTATTTATTTTATTTCACATTTTCAAACTTTCCTCATTTAAAAAGTCTTATCTCTTCTGCTTATGGTCAAAATGTGCTTTATTTTAAGGTTTAAAATTCAAGTGAATAAATTTGGAAAAGTAAGCCAACTTCAAATCAGAA